TTTTTTGGTTTTTTTGAGACAGGGTCTCCCTGTAGCCCCGGCTGTCCTGGAACTCACAGAGATCCGCCTGCCTCTACCTCCCGAGTACTGGGATTAAAGGCATGCGCCACCATGCCCAGCCTTTTTTTGGTCTTTTTGAGACAGGGTCTCAATTGGCCTTGAATTCAGAGATCCTCCTGCCTCTGCCTGGAATTAAAGACACACACCACCACACCCAGTCTGGTACATTCTCTTTTAATAACAAATAAATTAGGAAAATTAACTACTATAGTCTTAGAAAGTCAAAATTAGGGCATTGAAATCTAGGAAGTTAGATGATTTTTTAAAATTAATTCATCTGTATGTGTTTTTCCTCCATGAATGTAGGTGTACTATGCCCATGCAATGCCACAGGAGACCAGAAGAGGGTGTTGGGTTCCCCTGGAACTGGAGTTTCGAATGGTTGTTAGCTGCCATTGGGGTGCTGGGAACTGAACCCAGGTCCTCCAAGCAACCAGTTCTTAACCACTAAGCTATCTCTCCAGCCCTTAGAAGATTTTGTTTTTGTTTTCTTTACAGGGTTGGCAATCAAACCCAGGGTCTTAAAAATGCTAAATCTATCATTGAGCTATACTCCTACCCAAGTCAGACAATGTTAGTGTCAGTATTTAATAGAAACAAATTTAGCTTTCCTTTTCCTCTTCTAGGGACGGCATTTTCAGGCACTCAGAATGGTCCAGCATTTGACATACCACTGTAGGCTTTCCTACAACATAGCTTCTAACAAAACTATGCTGTCCTGAACCCCTGGTAACAGGATTGTTTACCTTTATACCAAGAAGGTTGGGAAAGCACCAACAGGGCCTATGGCGGTTCTATATGTGCTAAATGTGTTTGTGACAGGATAAAGCATGCTTTCCTTATTAAGGAGCAGAAAATAATTGTGAAAGTGTTGAAGACCAAGCACAGAGTCAGAAAGGGAAACAACCATGAGGCTTTTCTAAGTAATAAAAACCACAGCTTGTTCTATGGAAAAAAAATAATAATTAAAAAAAAAAAAATTTGAAAGCCAGGCTCATGCCTTTAATCCCAGCAACTGGGAGGCAGAGGCAGGTAGATCTCTATGAGTTCTATACCAGCTGGGACTACAGGGAGAGCCTCCCTCAAAAACACCAAAAAAATATATATATATATATTAAAACCATATCATTTCCTTTATTTTTATTTCATTCTTCAAAGTTATAGAACTTCATTCTAGGAGATTGGGAAAACTTTTTTTTTTTTTTTTGGTTTTTTTTTAGACAGGGTCTCCCTGTAGCCCCAGCTGTCCTGGATTTACCATGAAGACCAGGCTGGCCTTGAACTCACAGAGATCTGCCTGCCTCTGCCTCCCGAGTGCTGGGATTAAAGGTGTGCGCCACCATGCCCGGCTAACATTTTTTTTTTTTTTTAATCTTTTTGAGACAGGGTCTCCCTGTAGCTCCAGCTGATCTGAAACTCACTTTGTAGACTAGGCTGGCCTTGAACTCACAGAGATCCCTCTGCCTCTGCCTCCCAAGTGCTGGGATTAAAGGCATGTACCACCATGTCCGCCTCTGGGAAACCATTCTAATAATTCAAGTCTTCAGTAATATTTCTGCTAAAATAGCAATGATACTAATTTTTCAAAAGGAAAAGTAAATCTCAAACAAAGTGTCTTAAAAATATAGAAGCAGTGCATGCCTATAATCATAGCACTTGGGAGGCTGAAGTAGGTCCATTGCCATTAGTATGAAGCCAGCCTGAGCTACACAGTGAGACACTGGGAGGGAGAAAGAAAGGGAGGAAGGCAAGGAAGGAGGGAGGGAGGGAGGGAGGGAGGGAGGGAGGGAGGGAGGGAGGGAAGAGAGGAGTGAGGAGAAGAGGGAAAGGAGAAGGAAGGCATGGAGGGGAGAAGAATGATTCAGAGAAGAAAAATACTGCAATCCAGCTAATAGAGATACCCATTTGTATACTGCGATTTTAAATCATAGTAATATGTTTTATTCAATGTTTTAAAGAATGACATTCATTTTGACAAACCCCCAATACTGAGGTCACAGCACTGTGTATGAATAATTTTACTACAAAATTTACTAACAAAAAGCATATAAAATGCTTTAAGTCAATTTCCAAAATATATGTTTAACAGATTCTTCTGAACGCTATTTACACACCGTATTTCTGCTCATCAGGTCACCTATGTAAACCACTACATTAATCTCCGGTGCCCAAATTTCAAATTCCCTCTGCCATGAAGTGAGGGTGGATAGAGGGACGACGATGAGGAAGGGTCCATACAGCTGGTGCTGGTGGAACAGGTAGGAGAGGAATGATATGGTCTGTATGGTCTTTCCTAGGCCCATTTCATCAGCAAGAATTACACTGTTACTTCTGCAGTAAGAAAAAAGTAGAAATAAAACAATTGTTAGTTCACCAGAAAGAGTATGTGTACATACAATACTATCAACGCTTTCATACTGACAGCATAAAAAGGCAGCAGTGTGACTTTTAAATGACTTAAGCATCCTATATAAGGAAGAAAGCAGAAGCTATCAATAGCAAAACAAGTGACCTTTCTCTAAGGATTTCAAGATAGTCTCCAATTGTTCTTATCTTACATTCAAAATTCTGAATTATATCTCAGACCAGAGACTATCCCTTGTAACAGAGAAAGCAGGTTTATTATACATGCATAAGCATGTAGCCTTCGTGTGCATCAATACATAAAACATGAGCAGAGTGGTTACTGACACTGATGAAGTCTGCTAGTCATGTGCCTTTCCTCAAATTACCTTCTCCATTCCATGCATGCCACGGACTGCTTAAAACTACATATGCTATTTCCTAGGCCTACTTGTTGCAGGTGCAAAGAGCTTTGTTTTTGTTGTGTGTGTTTGTACTGCCAGGGATAGAACTGAGGACCATGTATGTGCTAGGCAAAGAGGAGCTGTTTTAACTATGCCACAGTCTAGACTATTATATTTTTGGACCTACTGAATGAGACTATCTGGGAAAGGGCACATGATTCTGAGGTTTTATTTTCTGTGAGGCAGTCTTATAATGTAGTCCAGATTGGTCTGCAATTTGCAGTCCCCCTGCCTCTGTTTCCCAAGTGCTAATGTTAGATTCTATAATTTTCACAACCACCTTTGAAGATTCTGATGCAGGTATTCTGTGGATCATAGTTTAAGAAGCACTGCTCTAGGAAATACTTGAATTTCAGTAAGACATGTCCAAAAAAAAAAAAAAAATGTGCAGATATAAGAAAAAGTAACAAATGACAGAGTTAGGGAAGTATGTTTGGGGAATAGAAAGTAGCCAGTTCAGCTGGAAATTAGAAATCTGAGTGTGGAGAAGTTTGTAGACATCATTAAATGGTTCTTTAAGGGCCAGAAAGATGGCTCCGTAGGTAAAGGCACATGCCACCAAGTCTAATGAATGACATGAAAAGTGCAATCTTGCTGAGGGTGGTGGCGCACACCTTTAATCCCAGCACTCAGGCAGAGGGTAAGTTCAAGGCCAGCCTGATCTACAAGGCAAGTTCCAGGCCAGCCAGGGATACAGAGTGAGACCCTGTATCAAAACAAAACAAAAAGGGCTGGAGAGATGGCTCAGAGGTTAAGAACACTGGTTGTTCTTGAAGAGGACCTGGGGTCTATTCCCAGCACGTGGCGACTAACAACCTTCTGTAACTCCAGTTCCAGGGGATCCAACACCCTCTTCTGACCTCTGTAGGCACTGCATGACACAGGTGCACTTACATACATGCAAGCAATGTACTCATACAGATAAAATAAAAATAGTATTTTCAAAAAAAGTTTAATTGCCAGAAACCACATGGTGGAAGGAGCAATCTGATTCTGACAACTTGTCCTCTGACCTTCATTCACACATGCATACACACAGCAGTCACATATACAAAATAACTGAAAAAACTTTTAAATGAATAAATAAAAATAAGGCTACAGTGTCTGCCCTGAGCTGCAGGTTCTGGGTTTCCCCAGTGCCAGGAACTGTAGGACTGACAAGGATCCTCACAGCTCTGAATTTGCTTGTTATTTATGGCTTTGTGACGCTTCTGGGTATCCCAATCTAATCTGAGTCCTTCCCAACCTCCAGCTGCTTACATGACCCAATTCCAGTGCTGTCAACTCAGTTTGCAACCCCTCAGTAGCTATGCTCTTCTGGCCTCCCCAGTTGCTGCCTTTAGCCAGGGACTTCTCAGAGCTCTTTTCCCTGTAGACACTAGCTCTCCTTCCTGCCTTCAGAGCCAGAGGAGAGGAATGAAAGGTACTGACAGATTCTCTTAGAGAGTTCTGCTGAGCCTGGCTTGACAAGGGTCCTTGGTCACTCTCCCCTTCCTTCCTATCTTCTGACTTTTCCCTAGACTATCAGGAGAGTTTAACTATTATATGGATCATCATATCTCTATAGATGAGAGAAATGTCAGGACACCTGTTTAGAAGTAGGGGCAGCAGGAAGTGCACCCAAGGAAGGCAGGTGCTGAAAGCCAGACTTTCTCAGGAGCCATGGGTGAGTCTTCACTTTACTCTGTCCTGAGAGTCCTGGCAAGAGGGATTTTAAGACACATATATTCTTGCTCCTCTGTCATTAGAGAGGCTAGTGCCCCAGGTAGCCCAGGCCCTCCTTCTCTTGGTGACACTCATTTCAACAAAAAAACAAATCCATGTTCACATGCCAAATGAAACAAGACCACTGATAGTTTATATAGATGTTTCATCAATTAACCCAGGAACTAATCACAAATTAAATACAGAAGTTAAAGGTGTCCAGTGGAAAAAACACAAGGTATTTAATCCCCTACAAACAGACAATGACTTTATAGTACATTGTATGTTCCACAGAAGTGAGGTTTTTTTGTTTTCGTTTTTGTTTTTTGATCTTTTTGAGACAGGGTCTCCCTGTAGCACCAGCTGGCCTGGAACTCACTATGTACACCAGGGTGGCCTTGAAGTCACAGAAATCCGCCTGCCTCTGCTTCCCAAGTGCTAGGACTAAAGGCATGCACCACCATGCCAAGCCTAGAAGGCAGTTTTAGAGGAAGGTAGAGAAAAGAACGAAGGAGACCACATTGGAAGAAGATTAAGGAAGTATTCATCTGTTAGTAGAACAACCTACACCCAATTTTCTTTAGTTTAGATGAAGTATATTCTTCTAAGTAATTTCCCCTCACTCCCTTAACCTTTCCACAGTACTGAGTGGTTAAGTTTCTCCACTATTTCTATTTTCTAAGAAACTGTCACTGTTAATATATATAAGCTCAAATAGACTTGAATTAGTTCACCTGTATTTCTAAAACCAGATCAAAAGAGGACATTACCTAATATAACATTCCTATGATGGGGGCCTACCATCTGGTTAGGGTCTTTTCAGACTTGATATATTCCCTCTCTCTCTCTCTCTCTCTCTCTCTCTCTCTCTCTCTCTCTGTGTGTGTGTGTGTGTGTGTGTGTGTGTGTGTGTGCGCGCGCGGGCGCGCGCGTGCAGCAAACATGGTGGTAAATACCTGGCTCTCTCCCTCCACCTTGTTGAAGCAGTCTTCGAAGCAGTCTTTTCTTTTGCTGTTATAGCACCATGTACCACCACAGGCTACCTAACCCACAAGCCTCCATGCAGTTCTCCAGTCTTTGCCCCCATCTCCCTGTAGGAGAGCTAGGATTACAAATGCAAGCCACCACAGCTAGCTTTTTAACATGGAATTGACCAATAATGAATTCTTTAAAGTGTTTTGTTTTTGTTTTTAAATGCTGCTAGGTGTCATGACTCATGCCTTTAATCCCAGCACTCATGAGGCCTCTGCAGGCATATCTCTGAGTTCAAGGACAGCCTGGTCTACATGAAAAATCCCAGGCCAGCCAAGACTACATAGTAAGACCCTATCTTGAAAAAAATTAGACTGACGACCAGAAAATTGTGCAACTCTGAACAAGGTTCCTGGTATCCTTGCTTCTAAGCCTTCAACTGTAAAAGGGTTAATTACAATCTCTTTAAATCAGGTCTACATTTTTAGATATATATTTTAGATATACTTTCTAAAGGACAGGACATCTAAAATGTCTAAATGGACATTAAATGTCTAAATGGACATTAGGACATCTAAAATCTCCTATCCTTTAGAAAGTATAGGACACAATATCCTTTGACAGGAAAATCTGTTTTATTTTTTCTTAACGATTATTTTTTTTTTATATGCATGAGTGTCCTTTTGCCTGAATGTATGTAAGTGCACCACACGCATACAATGCCCAAAGAGGACAGAAGGTGGTGTTAGCTCTCCTGGAACTGGAGTTTCAGATGATTGTTAGCTGCCATGTGAGTGCTGAGAATTGAACCCAGTCCTCTGGAAGAAGAGCAAGCATTCTTTACTGCTGAGCCATCTCTCCAACTCCAGGAAAACCTTTTAAAAAAATATTCTTTCCCAATTTCATACATATAATGTTCTTTGATCACTCTCCATTATCATGTTATCGTCTCCTTCCCCCCACCACTGAACTGAACCCCTTCGTCCCCTCCTATTTTCACTTTGTGTGTGTTTGTTAATTGGGGTTGCCTGTCTGAGCATGGGGGGAGTGGGGGTCTTAAGGAAAAGTGTTTTCAAGCAGATGATTATGAGACCCAGTTTCTCATACAAATTGAAGCTCAAGATTTCTAAATTTCATCCGAGTCTTAAATAGTACATTAGATTGAAAAAACAAGAACAGTGTAGGTGTAGCTCTCTGGGAAACAGTTATTGTAAATGTGTCTCTAACTAGAAACCATCTTCCTAGCACTGAGGACAAATTTATGTATTTTTATTTTCAAGCTGTAGTTTAATTTTTCCTTTTTTTTTTTTGTCTTTTTGTCTTTTTGAGACAGGGTCTCCTTGTAGCCCCAGCTGTCCTGGAACTCACTATGTAGACCAAGCTGGCCTCGAACTCACAAAGATCCACCCACCTCTGCCTCCCAAGTGCTGGGATTAAAGACATGTGCCACCACACCCGGCTTGTAGTTTAATTCTTAAATGAGGACAGCTGCTTTGCTATGATACAACGAAGGTACTAAGAGTGTGGGAAAAGGGACCTGTAGATAGGCATTAAAGGTACTTCTCACATTAAGCGTCACATAAGGACAGAGAAATCATGTCTGTCTTGAATCACTGTTAAATTCTCAAGGCTTAAATGGCTCCACAGCACTCAGTAATTAGGATAATAGTAAGCCAAAAACAGTAAAGAAAATCTCAAATGTATTTCTACCTACTTGCACCAGGAATGAGCAAGCCAGTTGAGACCCTCTAGCTGATAATCTCGGAGCTCCAAATTTTCCCCTCCTAAATATGCTGGTTGTTTCTTTAAAGCTACAAATCGTGGTCTTTGCTTCAGTGCCTAAAAAACAAAAATTAACAAAGCCCAAGTCTGAGAAAGTTTTCTCCCTGCTCTTAATTACAATGTCAGCCACAATTTATGCATTCTCCACCAAAGATAAAAAAATTAATTTTGGTAATAAATTGCCATTCTCATCCCATGTTATCCTAGTACTCTATGTCCCAGATTTCATTCTAAAAAATATCTTTAAATTTGTGCTATGCTTGTCTGGTTTGACTCTATTTCTGAGATGTGCAACATGTGCAGGAGACAGCTGAGGCTACAAGTGTTGAATACCCTGGAACTGGAGCTGCAGGTGGATGTGAACTGCCGGATGTAAGTGCTGGGAACTAACACTGGTCCTCTGCAAAAACAGCAAGCACTTTTAACTGCTGAGTCAGCTCTCCAGCCCCATTTTAAAATACGTTTAGAAAACTTGTTCTTTTTCTGAAATAAATTTGTGAACAACATTAATTAGCACTTTATTTTCACATCACCTTCACTGCATGGCAATGAGTCTCTTATTTTCCCAAGCAGAGTTATCTTCTTGTTACCAATTTCTTAACAATATAAAATAATGGCCTTTGGGGACATCTGTCATGTTACAATATAGGATTTGGAAATTCTGAAATGTGGTCCACCCACCTTGAGCCCCTAACTATGTGACTTTAGTTTTCAGAAGGAAAAGTTGCTCTTTTCTCACCACCGAAGGTTTAAAGACTTGCATTCTACTACGGTCAAATCTACTATTTGTACAATTCTATGGTCAATCAGTTTAGGAAGCAATGGATGAAAAAGTTATGCAAATTTCTTTTTTTCACTCATGTGTGTCTCTGTAAGGTGAATTTAAAGGAGGAATTTATTCAGCATAGACGTCCTTTTTCAAGGTGAATTTTCTGTGGAGCCTGTTTTGAGAAACTTAACAGTATTTGGTTACTGACAGTCTCCTGTGTAAGGGAACAATGAATGGAGCTCCTCACTGTCACCCTCCAGACACCTGCCATTCATCGACTTGCCATGCTGGCACCTGTATACAACCCTTCCAGGCCTCAGCTGATTAGCCCTCCATGTATTTTTCAATCTTCAATCAGTACCTTCTGTAACATCTTAAGGCTGGATCTTCTAGTTCCATCCTCCTACACACTGGCATTAGATGAAGCTTTTAAATAAAATGCTGATCTCATACTGCTCTTCTACTCTGCAGAACACCAACAGCTGCAGCAAAATATTCTTCCTTCCACATAGTCAGTACACACACTGAAATGCTCTCACCAACATCTATCTCCCTCTCAAGCCTTGGGGTTGGGTAGTTTGCTCTTAGTCCCTTTTCATAGGATGTCAATACCAGGATCCTTTCTTGTACACCATTAAGCACCAATCCATTCCAGGGCCAGAGGCAATCTAAGCACTACCTGCTTTCCTCTAAAAACCTCTTCAATAAGACCAATGGAACTCTTGTGACCTCTATCTTTGCTCTCTGACCATGGATTCTCTATCAAACACATGTGATCAACAATCACACACTGTCCTTCACACACATAAGTTTGGTGTTATTCATATGAATTTCAATTTCTCTGAGACAGAGTTCTTTCTCATATGTATGTTCATTACTCTGAAGAACCAAACAGTGTAGATTTGACAAATTCTATAGAAGGAAAAAAGATTTGTACAGTCAATCTAATAATAAAAAAGACTGTATTTAGTTTCTACGGCATTCTCCTTTCCTCTATATTTTAAAGTATTTAAATATTTTCAAGTATTTCCAACGATATATCTAATTCCATAAATTATAAAAATCAGAAAAGTCATTATATAATTCATTCTTTCCTTTTTCCTTTGAGACAAAGTCCCATGTAACCCAGGCTGGCCTTGAACTCACTGGGTAGACAAGATGACCATCATTGACCTTCTCATCCTCCTGCTTCCACCTCCTGAGTCCTAGAATTACAGACATGTACCACACCATGCCAAGTTTTATATATTGCTAGAGATGGAACCCAAGACTGTGTGCCTATCAAGCATGTACTAACTGAGCTATATCCCCAGCCCATACTGTATACTGTAATTATTTTTATTTAATGTCACTTTTAAATCATCATTTACTCTTGTAGTGTTTTTGCTTCTAAGTATCAGTGTGACTCTTTACTCACAACAACTTTATAAAAAAAAAAAAAAAAAACCATCATCAAACCTTGCATTCTCTTGTTGGGATAGTTTTTGAGTTGTTCCGACTATGAAAGCTGTCAATGCAGTTCTGGAACTTCTTTCCAATCAGGGCTTCATCTTCCCAGCTACATTCTGAATAGGGTAGTCCCATCCACTTGCATAAATATTCAGGCTCATTTGAAGGTGCTGGCTTCCGACTGTGAGCTATTATTGTATATAAGTATTTATAGAACAATGTCAGTTAAAAGTAGGGAGTGACACATGGCGGCTATGAACCATCCTTAACTCTAATTCCAGGAGAATCCAAAGCCCTCTTCTGACCTCCGCAGCACTGCACGACACGAGTGCACTCACATACATGCAGGCAATACACTCATACACATAAAATAAAAACAATAAATAAAATATTTTTAAAAAGTAGGGAGTGACATTCTTTTTTAGTGCACAATCAATAAACACAATGTGACAAAACTACATAATCTGGAAAACATGAAGTGCTCATATATACTAAACATTTATAAAAAGACCTGTTACTTACCTGGAAAATCCGTTTGACCCAATGTAGATTTACTTGTCTTCATAGCTAAGCAAATACAAAATAAGACAGAAAAGTTATAACCATACCAAGTAAGGTGGAAAGACAGGTCTTATATATGCTTATTTACCTCACATTTAAAAGAACTCGTTCTCCCCTCACTCTAGCCTACCATCCCAGTACTCTGTTCCCTTTGAAAATACAGCTCCACTGAGGAGCTGTTTATACTCAAAGGCCCTCATTCTCTCCTGAACACCCCAGGCAGACCTGAACTGCCAGCAGTCATTTAGTGGGCCCCTTTCACTGATGTCAGATCTCCCCAACCTAATCAAGTAAAACATTTCCACATCAGCTTCTTCTGCTAAGCCTTGCAAAACTGCTATTCTGTCTCCTTTGTTTACTGGCTTCTTCAGACTTCTGCACACTAGAATGTTCTCAGACTTTTCTCACCATATAGACTCTATGGTCCCAATAAATTTGAGGGTTTAATTATTAGCTACATACTGATAATTACCCAAATGTAAATCTTTAAGCCAGACTAAGGGGTTTTTTTTTGGTCTTTTTGAGACAGGGTCTCCCTGTAGCCCCAGCTGGCCTGGAACTCACTATATAGACCAGGCTGACCTTGAATGATCTGCCAGCCTCTACCTCCCAAGTGCTGGGATTAAAGGCATGTGCCACCATGCCCAGCTAAGCCAGACTAAGTTTTAAACTCCAGACTAACAATACTAAGATGACCAAATTTCTAAGTATCAAACTAAGCAATTGATTTCAAACTCAAAAATCAGTTCTTCTCTTCATCCTATCACTTCAATAAATGGCACCTCTACTCTTGCAAAATCCTTGCAAGCCAACATCCTTGATTCTTCTGCCTCTCATCCCCACACATCCAAATTTATAAGCAAATACTCTTAGGTCTTCCTTCAAAATAAATCTAGGCATCTGACTAGTCTCAAGAAGCAAACCTGCAAAATGCATTTCCTTCTATTTCTCCTAAATCCAAGTCATTTTTCTCCCAGTTTAAACATGGCTAAAGTAAGTTTTGGTGAACTTACCTATTACTCTTTCTACTATCTGATACTGTTTATTCAACTCTGATGCTAGCTCCTGTTGGCAATTGAAATATTCAACATCTTCAGGAGAAACTTTCCCTAACCTAGACAGAAGAGGTTAAAAAGAAAAAGAAAAAAAAAAAAAAAAGACATGTAACAATTAGATTTTGGAGATCCATACACACATATCAGAGCAAAAAAATGTAAGCTTACTTGTTTCCATGTGACCCTTTGGTAATCTTTACTAGTAATAAGTCTATGACATTTTGAGGGGAAAAAAATAAAACCTTCAGATCATTTCTGCAAATTCTACGAAACCAAGAATAATTTTAAGTATATCATAACTCAGGAGGTTCCAGACATTAACTCATCAAAAGTACCTAAGTCTAACCACAGAAAAATAATAAGCTACTTTAGCAACTGGCTCTAATACAGGCTACCTAAATTCAAATCATGGGTTCGCATGAAGTTACTCTGTACTCATCCCATCTACAAAACAGGGGTGACAAATTAAAATCTCAATTTACTGTTAAGAGCAAACAATGTGTATCAAAACTTTAAGAGATAGGAAAACAATGTTAAACAAGCTATTAACTGAAATTTAGTGGCCATATATTAAAAAGTATAATGTCATCAGGTCACAATTTAGAAAACAGAACTGTAGATGCTCCATGCTCCTTGATCATATGACCAAGGCAAAACATGAACTCCATGATAGCTGTGTTCTCCATGCATTATATTAAAGCCTTCCCTTCCCTTCCCTGAGGTTGGAAATATCTCTTTAATACATGATGGGCAATGTACCATTGTTTGATTTCATCCTCTTTTTTCTTGAAATTCTCTAGTTTCTTGAGGCCCTTCACTTTCTGTTGCTGTAAGGATTCTTCACTCTCCCAGGTGCTGTGGATATAAGACCAACCCTTCCACTTGATGAGGTACTGGATTTCGCTTTCATCCTTCTCAGTGTCAAGGTTACCACTAGGATCTCCATTAGCTTCAACAGCATATACAGTAGTACAAGCTCCAGTAGCTGTAAAAAGGTTCAGGTAAACTTCAAAGAACAGAAGAAACCAGACACGAAAAAGTCCCCAATTAAGCAACTGTCAAAGAATCTTTTCTAGAATGCACCACCAAATGAATGAATTACCAAATGTCTTTGACTTAAATAAGCAGAAACTTACAACACAGGAGGGATTCAGTAATTTCAAATTTCCTAAAAATGTTAGCCATATATATATATATATATATATATGTATAAATTGGTCTTTCTGACACAGGGTCTCCCTGTAGGTACAGCTGGCCTGCTGGCCTCCAACTCAGAGGCCTGCCTCTGCCTCCTGAGTGCTGGAATTAAAGGCCTGTGCCACCATGCCCAGCTTCAATATTTTAAAACATTTAAAAGCTTCCAGGTAAAATCAAGTCTTTCATCCAAAAAACAGCAACATTCTTTTTTTCTTGGTCTCAATGTACTCAAAGAGCAGATTGATCTCGATCTCTCTCTCTCTAAGAACATGTCTAAGAAATCAAAATACCCATTCCTCACTTACCTTCCCCAAAGGGTTGCTAATCCCCTTATTCTCAACTAAAATCAGAATTAAGGGGAAAGGAGGTGAGTCAGGGATACGTGGCAAGTTCCTGATCACAATGTATGTGTGTGTGGGGGTGGGGGGGGTTAAGACCCAATTTCAAATATTTGGAGTTGAAATTCAAATTTTCAAAGCTGGAATATGGCCCTCTGCTTCCCACGGCCTGCACAGCCCACCAGCCTCTCTTGGGTAAGTTCATCACACCCTCCCTGCTTTGACGCCCCCAGCCTTATTCACCCTCCCATCTCCCTCTACCTGTCTCTCCTCCTAGCCTGGGTGCTGTCCCATACCGTGTCTTGGCACCCCAGACACCAGGGGAACCACCACTGCTTCCTGATACTTTGCATCCAGACCAACCCAGTTTCTTCGTGGTCCACAGGAGCCCTCTAGGCCTGGCCCAACCCTCATGTCCCTCTATTTCCCGCCGCCAGCCTCTTTCTGGACACCAGGGGCTGACCTCCCGGCTGGATCCATAATCCACCACTGCTTCCTGATCCCTTGCATCCAGATGAACCCAGTTCCTTTTTGGGGGGGGCAAGGGGAACCAGATCCCTCAGGGCCAAGTCCCGCCCTCACCTCCCTCTGCTTCCCTGGGCCTGCACAACCCGCAGGCCTCTCTCTCCAGGGTAAGTCCATCGCACCCTCCACGCCTTGACTCCCCGCCTCATTCACCATCCCACCTCCCCTGCCCATCTCTCCTCCTAGCCTGGGTCCTGTCCCATTCCTTGCCTTGGCACCCCAGGCTGACCCAGTTCCTTCTCAGGGTCCGCTGGAGCCCTCTGGGTCTACTCCCGCCTTCACATCCCTCTACTTCCCTGCGGAACAACCTGCCAGCCTCTTTCCTGGACACCAGGGCTGACCTCTCCGCTTCCTGATCCTTTACACCCAGACCAAACTAGTTCCTCCCTGCAGTCCCCAGGAGTCCTTGGAGCCTATTCCCGCCCGCATCTACCTTTGCATCTCTGGGTGGCATGGCCACCAGCTGCCCTAGGCCAGCATCTTTCCTAGGCCCTCCTCCCAGGTCAGTCCAACCCCCAAATTCCTGAGGACATCTTTCCTGGAGGGATCCAGACCTTAGGAGAAAGCCTGGGAGCGTCTGATCCTCATCTGACTTGGGCCTCTGTGGGGAATCCTGAACACAAAAGCAATCTGGTCACTCCAATATAAAATCAAAAGAAAGGACACGAAGCTTACAGAAACCATCTTTTCATGCCCAAAAAAGTAAATCACAAAAAAACATAAAGTTCACAAAAAGAAGCAGACCTAAACTTGAAGGCTTGAGTCTCACACAAAAATCAGAAACTACAAAAGAAATCCACCTGTCAAAGTCACAGAGGAAAAAATAATAACATGAAAAACCCAAATAATATATCCCCACCAA